TTGGATATACAGGGGTCTGGGAGCTGCTTGAGGAGACAGTTTGTCCTTCATAGGAGCTCAAGTGCTGAGCTGTGAGCTCTGTTCATTCAGAGCTGCTGGGCAGGTACGTTTAAGTCTGCTGCAGCAGAACTCATAAACCCCTTTTTTTTCCCCAGGTGCTCTGTCCTAGGGAGTTAGAGCTTTATTTATGAGTTTCTGTTATGTTGCTGCCTTTTTTTCAGGGCTGCCCTGCCCAGCAAGAGGCAACCTGGTCACTGTCTGCCTGCAGAGGCTTTGCTGAGCTGCTGTGGGCTGCACCCCGCTGCCTTGTGAACTTCCCTGCAGTCCTGTTTTTACGAGTGTAGTTAGAACTGCCTTGGCAATGGTGGGCCACCTCTGTAATGGCTGACTCTCTCTGTAATCGTGGGTTGCCTCGGTAACAGCGGGCTGCCTTAGCAATGGCGGACTTCCTCCGTAATGGTGGAGTGCCTCGGTAATGGTGGACGCCCCTCCCCCACAGAGCTGGACCCTCCCGGATTCAGCTGTGCTGTCTCAGAGCCTTTTTTTTTTAGTTAAGTGGTCGACTCTCTCCCAGGTGTTCCAGTTGCATGTTGAAAAGGTGCTGGGATCTGTGTGATTTCCTGTGCAGCGACCTACTGCTCTGGCTGAAACAGCGGTGCTGAGATTCGTGGCGCGTTTTTGCCTGGGAATCTCCTGGCCTGGCTCCCTGTTTCAGTCCCCTTTTTAATCAGATGAATGGGTGACTCTGCCTTCCCAGAGCTCCAATGGCCAGCTAACATGGTGCCCAGAACTGTGTATTTTGTATGGAGAACCGCTTGACCAGGGGACCGGCAAGACAGCTGTGCCAGCCAAAATAACCACACTGGCCAAATCAGCCATGCTGTGGATCCATGGGGCTCCTCCGCCTGGGAATCTCCTGGTCTGTGGGCAATAAAAATCCGTCTGGAAATACGGCATCCACTTACACTCTGTACTTTTGCTGGGAGCTGGAATCCTGAGCTGCTCCTAATCGGCCATCTTGGATCCCTCCGATAAATAACTTTTGTCTCTGGATTTTTTAATGATTGCCATTCTAACTGGCATGAGATGGTATCTCAATGTGGTTTTGATTTGAATTTCTCTAATGACAAGTGATGAGCATTTTTTCCTATGTTGGCTGCATAAATGTCTTCTTCTGAAAAGTAGGTCTTCATGTCCTTTGCCCACTTTTCAATGAGTTGTTTGTTTTTTTACTTGTAAATTTTTTTAGTTCTCTGTAGATTCTAGATATTAGCCCTTTGTCAGATGGGCAGCTTGCAAAAATTTTTTTCCCATTCTTTTGGTTTCTGGTTCACCGTAATAATTGTTTCCTTTGCTGTGCAGAAGGTCTTAAGTTTAATTTGATCCCATTTGTCTATTTTGGCACTTGTTTCCATTGCTTTTGGTGTTTTAATCATGAGGTCCTTGCCTATGCCTATGTCCTGAATGGTTTTGCCTAGGTTTTTTCCTAGGGTTTTTATGGTGTTAGGTCTTATGTTTAAGTCTTTAATTCATCTGAAGTTAATTTTTGTATTAGGTGTAAGGAAGGGATCCAGTATCAGGTTTCTGCACATGGCTAGCCAGTTTTCCCAACATCATTTATTAAACAGGGAACCCTTTCCCCGTTGCTTGTTGTTGTCAGGTTTGTCAAAGATCAGATTGTTGGAGATGTGTGGTGTTAGCTCCAAGGCCTTTGTTCTATTCCATTGGTCCATATTCTTGTTTTGGTACCAGTACCATGCTGTTTTCATTACTGTAGCCTTGTAGTATAGGTTGAAGTCAGATAGTGTGCTGCCTCCAGCTTTGTTCTTTTGCTTAGGATTGTCTTTGCTTTGTGGGCTATTTTTTGTTCCATTTGAAGTTTAAGATGGTTTTTTCCCAGTTCTGTTAAGAAGGTCAATGGTAGCTTGATAGGGATAACATTGAATCTATAAATTACTTTGGGCAGTGTGGCCATTTTCATGAGATTGATTTTTCCTAACCAGAAGCATGGAATATTTTTCCATCTACTTGTGTCCTCTCTTATTTCATTGATCAGTGGTTTGTAGCTCTCATTGAAGAGGTCCTTCACATCCTTTGTTGATTGTATTCCTGGGTATTTTATTCTCTTTGTGGCAATTGTAAATGAAAGTTTACTCATGATTTGGCCCTCTGTTTGTCTGTCATTGGTGTTTAGGGATGCTCGTGATTTTTCCACATTGATTTTGTATCCTGAGACTTTGCTGAAGTTGCTTATCCCCTTAAAGAGATTTTGGGCTGAGGCGATGGGGTCTTTTAATATACAATCATGTTGTGTGCAAAGAGAGACAATTTGACTTCATCTTTTCCTAATTGAATACCTTTAATTTTTTTTTGTTACCTGATTGCTCTGGTTAGAACTTCCAATACTATATTGAATAGGAATGGTGAGAGAGGGTACCCATGTCTAGTGCCAGTTTTCAGTGGGAATATTTTCAGTTTTTGCCAATTCAGTATGATATTGGCTGTTGATTTGTCAAAAATAGCTTTTATTATTTTCAGATACATTCTATCAATACCTAGTTTATTGAGAGTTGTTAGCATAAAGGGCTGTTCAATTTTGTTGAATGCCTTCTCTGCATCTATTGAGGTAATCATGTGGTTTTTGTCTTTGGTTCTGTTTATGTTATGGATTACATTTATAGATTTGCATTTGTTGATTCAGCCTTACATCCCTGAGATGAAGCCTACTTGATTGTGATCAATAAACTTTTTGATTTACTGTTGCATTCGATTTGCCAGTATTTTATTGAAATTTTCTTTTTTAATTGTGTCTCTGCCAGGTTTTGGCATCAGGATGATGTTGGTCTCACAAAATGAGTTAGGGAGGAGTCCCTGTTTTTGTATTGTTTGGAATAGTTTCAGAAGGAATGATATCAGCTCGTCTTTGTACATCTGATAGAATTTGGCTGTGAACCCTTCTGGGTCTGGACTTTTTCTCGTTAGTAGCATATTAATTGCTGCCTGAACTTCAGACCTTTTTATTGGTCTATTCAGGAATTCAACTTCTTTCTGTTTTAGTCTTAGGAGGGTGGAAGTTTCCAGGAATTTATCTATTTTTACTAGGTTTACTCGTTTATGTGCATAGAGTTTTTTGTAGTAATCTCTGATCATAGTTTGTATTTCTGTGGAATCAGTGGTGATATCCTCTTTATCATTTTTTATTGCATCTATTTGATTCTCCTCTCTTTTCTTTCTTATTAGTCTGGCTAGTAGTATATCTATGTTGTTGATCTTTTCAAAAAACCAGCTCCTGGATATATTGATTTTTTGCAGGTTATTTTTTGTGTCCCTATCTCCTTCAGTTCTGCTCCAACTTTAGTTATTTCCTGTATTCTGCTAGCTTTTGAGTGTGTTTGATCTTGCTCGTCTAGTTCTTTACTTTCTTTGTTTCTCTGGTGGGCATTTATTTCTATAAACTTCCCTCTAGATACTGCTTTAAATGTGTCCCAGATATTCTCGTACTTTATATCTTCTTTCTCATTGTTTCAAAGGAAATATTTATTTTTGCCTTCATTTCATTATTTATCCAGTAGTTATTCAGGAGCAGGTTGTTCATTTTCCATGCAGTTGTGTGGTTTTGAGTGAGTTTCTTAATCCTGAGTTCTAATTTGATTGCACTCTGGTCTGAGAGACTTGTTATTATAATTTCCATTCTTTTGCATTTGCCGATGAGTGATTTACTTCCAAATATGTGGTCAATTTTAGAGCAATTTTAATGTGGTGCTGAGAGGAATGTATATTTTGTGGATTTGTGGTGGAGAGTTCTGTAGATGTCTATTAGGTCTGGTTGGTCCAGATCTTCATTCAAGTCCTGGATATCCTTGTTAATTTTTTGTCTTGTTGATCTGTCTAATATTGACAGTGGAGTGTTAAAGTCTCCCACTCTCATTTTTTTGGGAGTCTAAGTTCCTTTGTAGGTCATTAAAAACTTACTTTATGTATCTGGGTGCTCCTGTATTGGGTGCATATATGTTTAGGGTAGTTAGCTCTTCTTGTTGCATTGATTCTTTACCATTATGTAATGCCCTTCTTTGTCTCTTTTGATCTTTGTTGGTTTAAAGTCCATTTTATCAGAGACTAGGATTCCAACCCCTGTTTTTTTTTTTTTTTCTCTCTCTCTCTATTTGCTTAATAAATCTTCCTCCATCCCTTTATTTTGAGTCTATGTGTGTCTTTGCACATGAGATGGGTCTCTTGAATACAGCACACCAATGGGTATTGACTCTTTATTCAATTTGCCAGTCTGTTTCTTTTAATTAGGGCATTTAGTCCATTAACATTTAAGGTTAATATTGTTATGAGTCAATTTGATCCTGCCATTTTGATACTAGCTGGTTGTTTTATTCAGTAGTTGATGCATTTTCTTCATTGTGTCTATGTCTGTAACATTTGGTACGTTTTTGCGGTGGCTGGTACTCATTGTTCTTTTCCATGTTTAGTGCTATCTTTAGGAATGTTTATGTGCCTTGGGTTTGCTCTTCTTGGAGAATATCTTTGTGGTGTTCTCTATATTTCCTGGATTTGAATGTTGGCCAGCCGTGCTAGGTTGGTGAAGTTCTCCTGGATAATATAGTGATGAGTGTTTTCCAGCTTGGATTTATACTCCCCATCCCATTCAGGCACAGTGATCGAATGTAGATTAGGTCTTTTCACATAGTCTCATGTTTCTTGGAGGCTTTGTTCATTTCTTTTCACTCTTTTTTCTCTAATCTTCCTTCTTATTTTATTTTACTGAGTTGATCTTCAGCCTCTCACATACTTTCTTCTGCTTGATTGATTTGGCTATTGAAATTTGTGTATGCTTCACAAAGTTCTCATGTTGTGTTTTTCAGCTGCATCAAGTTGTTTATGTTCTTCTCTAGGCTGGTTATTCTAGTTAGCATTTTATGTAACCTTTTCTCAATGTTCTTAGTTTCTTTGCATTGGATTAGGACTTGCTCCTTCAGCTCAGACAAGTTTGTTATTACCCACCTTCTGAAGCCTGCTTTTGTCCATTCATCAAACTCATTCTCTATCCAGTTTTCTTCCCTTGCTTGTGAGGAGTTGTGATCCCTTGGAGGAGGAAAGATGTTCTGGTTTTTGGTGATTTCATCTTTTTGTGATGATTTCTTCCCTTCCTCATGGTTTAATGTACCTTTGGTCTTTGAAGTTGGTGACTTTTGGATGGGGTCTCTGAGTATCTCCTTTTTGTTGATGTTGAAGCTATTTCTTTCTGTTGTTTAGTTTTCCTTCTAACAGTCAGGCCTTTCTGCTACAGGAATTCTGGAGGTCCACTCGATAGCCTAGTTGCTTGGGAATCACCTGCAGTGGCTGCAGAAAAGCAAGGGTTGCTTCCTGGTTTTTCCTGTGGTAGCTTCATCCCAGGAGGGTCCCCACCAGATGTTGGCCAGAGCTCTCCTCTATGAGGTGTCTCTTTGGATATACAAGGGTCAGGGAACTGCTTGAGGAGGCAGTCTGTACCTTTTCAGAGCTCAAGTGCTGTGCTGTGAGCTCTGTTGCTCCCTTCAGAGCTGCTGGGCAAGGATGTTTAAGTCTGCTGCAGCAAAACTCACAACTGCCACTTTTCCCAAGTGCCCTGTCCTGGAAAGGTGGGGCTTTATTTGTAAGTCCCTGATGGGCTGCTGCCTTTTTTAAGAGATGCTCTGTCCAGCTAGTAGGGAATCTAGTCACAGACTGCCTGCAGAGGCATTGCTGAGCTGCCGTGAACTCTGCCCAGCTGCTGTGTAAACTTTATTGTGGTTTTCTTGGCACAGGAAGGTTACAACTGCCTCAGTAATGGTGGACTGCCTCGGTAATGGCATACGTCCCTCCCCCTCATCAAGCTCAAACTGCTGTGCTGGCTGCAAAACTTTCTAGCCAGTGGGTTTCAGTTTGCTGGTCTTTGTGGTGGCAGGACCTGCGAATCACTTAGTCCTCTGCCTTCAGCCCCATTTTTTCAGAGGAATGGGCAGCTCTGTCTTGCAGGCATTCCAGGCACTGGCTAAAATGGCCACCCAGTTTTGTGCTGAAAACCATTGGTGCTTGTTGGCCCTCGCTGGAATCTCCTGGTCTGTGGGTTGTAAAGAAGGTGGGAGAAGTGCAGTGTCTGAATGGGAGTGCTGGAGTATCCAAGAAAGTCCCCAATGATCTCTGTTGGGTAGGAGGATGGGTCTTATGGCCTGTTGCACTTCCTGGGTGAAGCAGCGCCCAACCCTGCCTTGGTTTGCCCTCCTTGGTCTACACCCACTTTCCAACCATTCCCATTGAGATGAAACTAGTACTTTGATTGGAAATGCAGGGATGACCCGCTTTCTGTGTCGCTCTTGCTGGGAACTGTGCTCCAGAGCTGTTCCTATCTGGCTATCTTGGCAGAAGTCCCTGATTTGCTTTTTAGATACTTTTTTCACCAGATATTCTAGTTCATTGGTCTTAAATTCTGCCTTCAACAAATCCCTTTGGCCTGGATACAATTCAGCCACATTCTTTGCCACTTTATGACAAGGGTGGTCTTTACCTTCCAATATCTTGCTCCTCATTTCCTTCTGACACCTCATCAGAATGTTCTTTACAATCCATATTTCTATCAACATCCTGATCATCACCACTTAAATAACCTCTAAAATCTTCAGAATTTTCTACAATTCTTTTCTTTTGAGCCACCACCCAAATTTTCCTTAACAGTCTATTTAGGGCAATCTAGGCTTTTTCTTTCCTTCTCCTCCAAATTATTCCAGCATCTCCTACTTACCCAGTTCCAAATCTGCTTTTATGTTTTCAGATACGTGTTATAACAATAGCCCCTCTTCTTGGCAACAATTTTCTGTCTTAGTTTATTTTTACTTCAATATCAGAATATCACAGACTTGGTAATTTATTATGAACAGAAACTTATTAGCTCACAGTTCTGGAGCCTTGGAAGTCCAAGATCAAGGGGCTGGCAACTGTGAATGCCTTCTTGCTGAATCATCAGGTGGCAAAAGGCAAGATAGCAAGAGAAAGCAAGAGAGCAAACTTGTAGCCTCAAGTTCTTTTTATAATCAGTACATATCAATTCATGTGGCTGGAGCTCTCATGACCCAAACACCTCCCCTTAGGCCTGACTTCCAAACACTGTTGCTTTGGCAATTATATTTTGATCACATGCTTTTTGAGGAACAGATTCAAACTGTTGCAAAGAGTGTCCCAATAAGTAAAGAGTTATGAGATAATTTTATTTAAGTATCTCTGCATATGGAAGAGAGGACTCCTTGAGAGACTTTGGAAGCTTCAAAGCAAAGAAATAATCCTGAGGTAGAAATATCTATAGTTGCAGGGAGCGAAATGAGTTGACCATAGAAAGTTGAGGAGCACATCCCAGAGAGAATAATAAGTGCAAAATGGAGTCGCTGATGAAATACTGTTATGGTTTGGATCTGTGTCCACACCCAAATCACATCTTGAATTGTAATCCCCATCTTTTGAGGGAGGGACCAGGTTGGAGGTGATTAGCTCATGCAGGTGGTTTCCCTCTTGCTGTTCTTCTGCTAGTGAATGAGTTCTTATGAGATATGATGGTTTTAAAGTGTTTAGCAGTTTCACCTCCACCCTCTCTCTCATGCCACCTTGTGAAGATATTCCTTGCTTCCCCTTTGCTTTCTTCCAGCATTGTAAGTTTCCTGAGGGCCCTCCATTCATGAGAAATTGTGAGTCAATTAAACCTCTTTTCCTTTTAAATTATCCAATCTCATGTAGCATATTTATAGCAGTGTTAAAATGGACTCATACGGATACCTTCCCGAGGAAATTTGTAGGTCTTCATTTCAGGATTTCATTATGAGGATAGGTCCAGAAAGAACATCTTTGGGTATTAACGTCCCATTTTCATTTTATAATAACTGAAAGCTGTGTATTTTGTTGTTGTTCATGATAATTTCTCTTTGAAGTGTGCATAGCACTTTTGAAGTTTTAAAAAACTTTTGCAATAAAAGACTGCTCTATTGAGAAATCAGTGAACACATTTAAATATGAGACACAAAATGATGTTATACAACAAAGTATATGGCTCTGGGCACATTACTTCCTTTCTGTGACTAAACTTCTTCTTCTGTAAAATTAAGATAATAAGTGTCAGCCTCATAAATTGTTATAAACATTAAATGAGATTATGAATGTAAACAACTTAGCATTGTGTCTGGTATGGTAAGTATTCAATAAAGGTCCACTAGTAATATTTTTATTCAGGAAATCTGCCTTAAAATTATGTAGCTATGGCATAAAGATTCTATATTGCATTTGATCCATTTGAAAGGGGGTCTCTCTGTCTACAACTTAGCATGTTTAAAATCAGTGTGAATAATTAATTAAAAGTGTGAATGATTGCAAATTTATGGTTATAAAGCAGCTTAATTTTCTCAAACTAACAAATTCAAATTAATGTTATGTTTAGCTATGATAAACTCAATACATCTTGAAACATCTATGTTTGAAAGTAATATTAGTTCATTTTCATCTGAGCATTGCAGAGAATGCATTCGATTCATCATTTTTCCTCTACTGAGTGGTTTCCGTCTGCTGATTTTCAGATAGTGCTTAATAACTCCAAGTTAACCTTTTTCTATATTTGAGGACAATCAGGAGCAGGCAACCACGTGGCTATCCTTCAGTCTACAATGGGACTACTATTTGAAATAAAATAACAGGCATATCACAAACATAGAAACAAGATGTTAAATCTAAAACTGCAGACAGAGGCTACAAGTATCATGTCAAAAAAATGTGCATCACATATCAGATTCAGATCTATGTTTTCAAACACATTTGTGTACAAAGGAAGTAGTCCAATCAGCAGAGTTACTGTCAAATATGAAGAAAGACCACATATGTTTTGATCTCTTCTGCTGGTATATTTACTAGGGTTATATTGTCTGGTGACTATCCAAATTGTGACTGGTGATCTGGACATTAAATTGCTGAACTTATAGCTGTTTTTAAGTTGGAGCACAGGAAAAGTTATTTATATATTTGTTTGTTTTCTATAGAGTGTAGCTGATACACTTAGTCTCAAAATCACAAACTTCAAATTAGATAAATATTTGCTTTATGTTGTAATTTTTAGTGCTGTGATTGCTATAATTTGTTGCTACTCTGACAGGCTGTGAAAAAGATGTGGGTCTTCACTACATAAAAATATCATAAATTAACATAAACTACCGTGCTAGAGAAGTAATAGTCCACATGTTTATGAATGCTAATGGTATGCTTCATTGCCATTCAGAATTGTTATGACTAAACAAAGTTTCTATTCAATAATGAATATCATCTCTCACTTTTTAGTGCTTATGAGCTGAGGGACAGAAATAGTCATTACAAAATGCTTACCTGTGAAAAAGGCATGTGTTACAAAAATGTGGGTGCTGATATAATGATTATGGTATTATGTTAAATCTATAAATCAGAAACACATTGGTGTGCAAAGAAGATTTCCTTTATTTCTTTAAAATCAATGTTACATTGAAGACATATCAGGTTCTCATTTCTATTCTATTAAATTTGTAAGATACAGGAGAATATAGAGTTGCTACTCAACGGTTAGAGAATATGTGCTCATTAGCACACAGTTTGGGCCTCTGTGATAAATAATCCTTTACATCTCCAGAAAATAATAATTGCTTCCCCTTTAATTCCAATGTATAGGCTTATTGTGGCCCATGTCTGTATTTTATTTTCTCTCACCCCTTCCCCTTTTGTCTAACACAGTATATTTCCTTTAATAGACACTGAATATGCTTTTGTTAAATGGAAATATATACATATTTATATAAATATATGTTATTGCATAAGGCAGACTCAAGAAAAGGTAAAACTTGATTGTCTATTTAATCTTTTTCCTTTATAAAAAGATAACCCAGGTCTCAGTGGGTTAACACCTAAGTTTGATAAATGGAAAGAAAACATATCTAATTTTTTTTTTAAGAGGAAGAAAGAGAGAAAGAAAGAAAAAGAATTAAAAAGAAAAAGAAAAAGAAAAAGAATAAAGGAAAGGAAGAAAGAGGAAGAGGAAGAGAGAGAGAGAACAGGGGTGTTGCTTTATTACCCGAGCTAAAATACAGTCTAAAAATGGGTATGCCTGTAATTATGTTTAATAATAGAGACATAAAATAAAATGAGGGAAGAAAATAATTAACAAGCAGCCAACCAATATTTCATTTAAACCTGTAAATACGTGTGATGTAGCACTGATAAGAGTGTATATTTTGTGTATTTAAAGTGGAGAGTTCTATGAATGTTAATTAAGTCTACTTGTTCCGGATCTGAGTTCAAGTCCTGAATATCGACGTTAACTTTCTGTCTCATTGATCTGTAAGTCTCCCACTATTATTGTGTGGGAGTCCAAGTCTCTTTATAAGTCTTATATATTTGAGTATTTCTGTATTGGGTGCATATATATTTAGGATCTTTAGCTCTTCTTGTTACATTGATCCTTTTATCTTTATGTAATATCCTTCTTTGCTTCTTTTGATCTTTGTTGCTTTGAAGTCTGTTTTATCAGCAAAAATTGCAACTCCTGCTTTCTATTTATTTATTTTTGCTCTCCATTTGGTTGGTAAATTTTTCTCCATCCCTTTGTTTTGAGTCTTTGTGTATCCTTGCATGTAAGATGGATCTGGATGTAGCATACCAATGGGTCTCATTAATTGATGCAATTTCTTAATTATGTTGATGTTCTTTATTTTTTGGCATTTTTTAGAAAGGCTGATACTGGTTGTTCCTTTCTATTTGTAGTGGTTCTTTCAGAAGCTCTTGTAAAGCAGGCCTGGTGGTGATGAAATCTAATCTCTAAGTGCTTGCTTGTTCACAAAAGATTTTATTTTTCCTTCACTTATGAAGCTTAGTTTGGCTGGATGTAAAACTCTGGGTTGAAAGTTCTTTTCTTTAAGGATGTTGAATATTGGCCCCCACTCTCTTCTGGCTTGTAGGGTTTCTGCTGAGAGATCTGCTGTGAGTCTGATGGGCTTCCCTTTATGGGTAACTTTCTTTCTGGCTGCCCTCAGTATTTTCTCTTTCGTTTCAACCCTGGTGAATCTGGCGATTATGTGTCTTCAGGCTGGCCTTCTTGAGGAATATCTTAGTGGTGTTCTCTGTATTTCCTGGAGTTGAATATTGTCCTGCCTTGCTAGGTTGGGAAAGTTTTCCTGAATAATATCCTGAAGCGTAATTTCCAGTTTGGATTGATTCTCTTCGTCACATTCAGGTACACCTATCAAACGTAGATTAGGTCTTTTCATATAGTCCCATATTTCTTGGAGACTTTGCTCATTCTTTTTTATCCTTTTTTCTCTAATCTTGTCTTTTTGTTTTATTTCATGAAGTTGGTCTTCGACCTCTAATATCTTTTCTTCTGCTTGATCAATTCGGCTGTTAAAACTTGTGCATAGAAAGCGAAGTTCTCCTGTTGTATTTTTCAGCTCCATTAATTCACTTACATTCCTCTCTAAATTGTGTACTCTTGTTAACATTTCGTCAAACCTTTTTTCAAAGTTCTTAGTTTCTTTGCATTGGTTTAGAACAAGTTCTTTTAATTCCCAGAAGTTTCTTATCATCCACTTTTTAAAGCCTGCTTCTGCTAATGGAACACAGTCTTTCTCCATCAGGCCTTGTTCTGTTGCTGATGAGGAACTGTGATCCCCTGTAGAGGGAGAGGCGTTCTGAATTTGGGTATTCTCAGCCTTTTTAGGCTGTTTTCTTCCCTTCTTTATAGATTTATCCATCTGTGATCTTTATAATTACCATCTTTATGGTTGGGTTTCTGAATGGACGTCCAACTTGTTGGTTCCCGGTGCTAGAATCTGAGCAACCCACTGTGCCGGCCAAAACAGCGGCTTTAAGATTGTTGGTGCTTTTCTGACTCTGCACCAAGAACCGCCGCTCCAAGGCAGTGGCAAAACCGCCTCACCGGCCTCAAGAGTCGCGCTGGTGACACGTGGGGTTCCTCCGCTGGGAATCTCCTGGTGCATGAGCAACAAAAATTGATCTGAAAGTGTGGCATCCTCTCGTTCTCTGTGCTTTCAGTGGGAGCTACAATCCCGAGCTGCTAGTGACCAGCCATCTTGGATCTCTCTCCCAACATGTCTGATTTTAGTCTAAGAATTATTATAAAAAATTAGGGCAAATGGGTCAATAATATTAAATTCCTTTGAGTTTACATTTAGGAGAAAAAAATAGATAAAATTTACTAAACATACTATATGCTCAACAGTATACATTATCTTATTTGATCTTAACAAGTATATGAGATAGGTACTCTTATTACTCTGATTTTATAGATGAAGAAATCATGTCACAGGAGTGTTTGCTTGCGTGCATGAGGAGGAAGGTATCTACCATAAATGTTGTTCATGAGATTTCATCCAAGAAGGTCTAGCTTTAGAGCTTGTAGTCTTAATCCCTGAGTGGTTAAAAAAAAAAGAAATTTTTTGAGAATTAGGAGACAATTGATATTGGAATAATTTTAAAGTATTAAGACTTAGAACAACATCCTTATCTCCAGCAAATACCTGCCCCTTTGTTCCATTTTAAACTATTTATTTATTTTTCTTACAGAGGCAGTGATATAAAGATGTAGGATATTCTGTCACTTTCTCTTCCCTTTTATTGTCTGTTCTTTAGTCTTTTCTCTGCTTTTTTCCTCTCCACCAGATAGTTAAGGATAGGAAAAGAAAGATAAATTCCCTTGAACATGAATAAATTACTGTTGTTGGAATATGGTTCTTCCCTGCTATAATTCATGTTACAATTTTATCTCCAGTGTGGTGGTAGGTAGGGATTACTAGAAGGTTTTTGGGCCATGAGG